GACGGGAGGCTGCTACGCTGTTGTTGTCTAGACTTTCCCGTGTTCGGGTGGATATGCAACGATTGGGCCTTTTGGACTCTCTCATGCGGTGGGCGCTGGATATTCTACACCCGAAAACTGATGGTATAGTTCCGCCGCCGGTATACACCTATATCGGAGTGCTTTCTTTTATCTCTAGGCTTGGGGCATCTGGGCAAGTGGGCGATTTGGCCTCATTTATTGTGCCGATATTTAACGGAATTCTGCCCTTATCTGAAGGAGAATCGCCCCTTGCTCAGACGGTTAGGTCGTCTGCATCTGCCAGGAAGTCGATGGTAAAGATTCTCCGGACTATCACGACTCTCGTGTTATCGTTGGAAGAGAGCCCTGGACATCATCAAATTCCTGAGGAGACTGTGTCGATGATCCTGGAGAACGCAATTGATTACTTCCTTGTCTCTCTTGGTGATAGAGATACCCCAGTACGATTCGCAGCGAGCAAGGCACTTAGCGTGATTACTCTCAAGCTAGCTCCAGATATGGCTTCTGATGTCGTAGAGGCAGTTATTAGTTCGCTGGATGAGAATATCCTGTATGAGAGGCAGGATGGCACGTTAATCACACCATCTGAAGCCCAGAATGTCGACGTTAAGTTACGGAAGCGTAACATAAGCGCCGTATGCCCTCAAAAGTGGCAGGGTCTGATCCTCACTCTTGCGCATTTACTATACCGCCGCTCGCCACCAACCGCCCTGCTTCCTCAAGTGCTTCAGTCACTAGTATCTGGACTAGATTTCGAGCAGCGGTCATCGACGGGTAGTTCAGTCGGAACCAATGTTAGAGATGCTTCATGCTTTGGAATATGGGCTTTAGCTCGGAAGTACACGACTAGCGAACTACAGGACCTCGACGCCCAGGAGCTGAAGGTGACAACAAACCAGGAAGATGGGAGTACGTTGCAAGCTCTTGTGATAGAGCTTGTCTGTGCTGCATGTTTAGATCCCTCGGGAAATGTTCGAAGAGGCGCTTCTGCTGCATTGCAGGAGCTTGTTGGTCGCCATCCAGATGCAATTTTCGAAGGCATTCCTTTGATTCAGGTTGTTGATTATCATGCCGTTGCTCGCAGGTCGAGGGCGATGATCGATGTTGCAACAGGGGCTTCAAATATAGGAACTTTGTACTGGAAACCCCTCGTGAATGGCTTCTTACAGTGGAGGGGCATCGGCTCTCCTGATGCAGAGTCGCGACGAACTGCTGCTCGCGTCCTCGGTGATTTAAGCCTTCAGGAATCCTACAAGTCCTTGAGCATAATGCTTGAGCGACTTATACAACAGCTCTCTACAACACCATTACAGGCTGTTGAGGCAAGACATGGCCTATTTTTATCTATTGCTGCTACTATTGATGCTTTCATCAGGCATAGGAACCACGGAGGTGGCAAATCCTGTTCGCCCGAGTATACCAAAAAGGTCGTGGCTCAAATTACTGATCTTTGGGGGACTATCTTTGACTCTACTATCGCCCCAACAGCGGACGTCCTGACGCATCATACTCTACGCCCTGACCTCACTGCTGAGGCTTGCGCATATCTTATCTCTTCTCTTTCTCGCTCCTGCGGGCCCGAGGAGCAACAAAATGATGTCCACCCTACGCTCCCCCACCCATCTGCTCGATTGCTTGATAAAGTCATCGAGGTCTTGCTGTTATGTATGTTTCGACCAGATGATATTCCGATTGAGGCCTCATCGCAAGCAGCTTCGTGCTTATTCCCACTACTTCCTAACTCTCAAAAGTTGGAGGTTGTGCAAAAATGGTTCAACAATATTCAGGATAACTGGCGGTTAGAGACTGGGCGCGGGCAAATTGCAGCATTGGGTGCTGTTTTCAAACGGATGCCGACGGCTGGGGAAGGGAGACAGTTGATTATAGATAAGCTCATCGATTGTACCGGGGTGGAAGAGAAAATCGCTAAACGGTCGTCGGCTGTGAAATGTCTTGCTAGTGGTGTGTTGCCGGATATAGGTATGATAACAATATTCCTTCATATATATATATATTGTGAGCTTTTGGCTGATATGCTAGGATGCGATAGATGATGTAGAATCCCTTGCTGGGCACTTCAAGGCCTTTCTTAATGACTACACAACGGACCGAAGGGGTGATGTTGGTTCGTTCATCAGGCTTGAGGCGATCGAGGCAGTTAATGTCACTCTTGAATCGAAAGTGCCACCTGGCTCAGCACCTGTCTACCTGAAGGACTTGGTGAGCTGTGTTGTACGCCTCGCCGCAGAAAAACTTGACAAAGTCCGCTTTCACGCGTGGAAATGTTTAAAGACATTTTGGGAGACATCCACGGACTTGCCTCCTCTAACAAAGTAAGGCCCAGGGATCTTTCCAGAAAGAAAAGAAAAGAAAAGAACAAAAATTTTTCTTTTCAAAAAGCACACGGTCCTAACAGAAATTTCCTTAGGAAATTTGAACATTTCAGCGAAGTCTCTACGGCAGACTATTTCTTACAACTTTGCGACTTACTTCAAGTTGACTGGCTTCGTCACTCGCTCTCTAAAGGCATGGTAACGTCCGCTACCACCGGTACCGAAGTAGTAGTCCGATCCGCCCGCTTCGCGCTTTTGCAATACATAAATAACCAGAACGATGAGCAAAAAAAAAATATATGCGCTAAACTTATCGAAGACTGGCTCTCGATACTGGAAAGCGATAATGATGACGATCGTTATGCTATCCCAGCTGTAGAAATGATTGCATTTTTACTTGACAACTGCTTCTTGCATAATTCCCCTGATCCGAATATCAAGTGAGTATTTCACTCTATATTCAGTAGCAATGCTGATCTTGCTAATGGTTGTCTTTTCCCCTTCTTACCTTCTTATCCTCACAGCTACCAAAATCTCTTCGTTGCGGTTCAAAAGTTCCATTTTAAATCAGCCAATATGGCCCGGATTGAAGCTGCGATAAAAGTATATGCACTCCTCTGGAGGATGAATGTTGTTAGGGGAGACGTCATGAAAAAGCTGACGGGGATGCTGTTGCATCCGTATCCTAAGGTAAATTCCCCCGGCTCCTACCAGGGGGCCCTGTTCCCACTGCGTTGCTTTTCTTATTTTTAACCACGAATAGATCCGAACCATTGCCGCGGACTGTTTATACATGGAGAGTCATATTGAGGAAATGAAAGGCGAAGACTGGTCAAGTCCCCCAAAGCAATTGAAAGCGAAGGTTGATAATTTGCGACTGGTTCTTTCTCCTCGTCCCAATGATATCTCTCAATAGCTACGTATGAATAGCGGTCACAGGAATATAAGGACTATTTCCCACTATGTCCATATTTACAATTAACTCAGGCAATGGATATGTGTGTTAATCGATAATTAACCATGGGATGATTTTACTGGTAGTTTGTTTGGGTATGAGGATGGCAGAGATATATATTTATATCAACTGATAACATTCACCAAACAATGAACAATGGGGAATTATTGTACCCGCAAATAGCATGGATTGAAAAACACCGACCAAAATACTATGAATCTTGATGAATAAAAAAAAAGGAAAAAAGGGGGAAAAGATAGAAAGACTACGTAATGCATCATCCGTGAATCGAACACGGGCCTCATCGAATCACACCAATCAGGAACCGAGATTCCAGAGTTGAGTGGCAACGATGAATTCTACCACTAGACCAATGATGCTGTTCTTACGTTAAGAGCGGTGCAACTTTGATGCACTAAGAATTACACATCACGGCCCGACTATTCGGCCGAAGCCCTGGAATCCAATACGAACATCTCAAGTAGCTTATCGCGTTGCTTCGATTCTCCCAGTTTTGACAAGATCCAATCGACAGCTTCAGGAGCGCTAATTTTCATTCATCATGGCAGCCGTAGCTGCCACGGCGTCTGGCGTAGCCCCCAATTCGACGTGCGTGTTCGGCCACCCTAGCCCTTGATTTATACAAGTTTTACTGACCTTGACCTCGTTCTGCTATTCTCTCTAGCATCTATGTACGTTAGAAGAAAGAGCAAAATATTTCCCAGACGCAACATAAATACATGTTGGAAGGCTAACCAAAGGGAAAATCGCAATTCCCATGTGTGCAGGTCCGTAATCTTGAAGAAAGAATCAAAATCGAGTCCCTCAAAGAGGCGTTAACCGAAATCTTCTCCGAATACGGCAACATCATCGATATTGTCGCGAAGACAAACCTCAAAGCAAAGGGTCAGGCATTTGTCGTCTTTGATAATGTAGACTCCGCCACGCGTGCGATTGAGGAGATCAATGGGTTTGAGCTCTTTGAGAAACCCATGGTGTTGGACTATGCGAAGACCCGAAGCGATGCGACAGTGCTGAAGGAACAAGGGGAGGCGGAGTTGGAGGCCCATAAACGGAAGCGGTTAGCAGAGAAGGGTCAGTCTTTTGTTTTTTTGTCTTGTATACATGTAGCTGGTGGCTGATTTTTGCATTTCTTCCCACTTGTTCAAACAACCAGAGAGAAAACAAGCACAGGAAGCGCTCGAGGCGCAGAAGAAGCTGAAACGTGGAGCTGCGGCGCCAGGAGGCGCGGAAACCCGCCCCTCAAAGGTCACCAGAGGTACCGGCTTGAAGCCTTCCAACGCCGCTGCTGCTCCTGTTATACCAGACGAATACCTACCTCCTAATAAGATTCTGTTCTTGCGGGAGATTCCTGACTCGTTAGATCAGGAAGGCCTTACTGCAGTCTTTGGTAGATTCGAGGGCTTCAAGGAAGTGCGTATGGTACCAGGCCGGAAAGGAATTGCGTTCGTGGAATATGAAGCAGAGACTGGTGCTATCAGCGCCAAGGAGGCTACATCTGGTATGCCGTTGGGAGAGAATGGGAAACCTATTCGGGTGACGTACCAGAGGCAGTAAGGGATTTTATTCACTTTGTTCGTCCTATGTTTACCCTATACTTTCTGCTTTCGATGGGAATCTGCAATGCGCTTTTGTGAGATGGCTGTGTTATGTTCTTTTGGCGTTTGGTTTTTATGAGTGGGAGAATGCGCTCCTGAGTTTTCTTTTTTCTTATTATTTTATCTCAAAATATATTATGAATGCCAAGTTTATGATTGTATAAAAGAAAAGAAAATTACTACATATATCGTACTACAAGCAATACGCATGGAAATTATACAATGGTCCAAAAAGCGTTGCAACTAAAAAATAATATCCTGATCCCCTTGTTCTCCAAGCAAATCGGCAGGTGCAGTGGTATCCGTTGACTGTGAATTTGCTATTTCAGCTTTTTCTGCTGCTTCTCGTTTGGCTTTCATTTCAGCATCAGCGGCTGTCGTGTCTCTCTGTTTTTTGTTCGATACCTAACAAGTTGATGGCGGGTTAGTTTATTCCAGTCTGGCACATGTTCGGGTTAATTGTAGTTACCTTCTTTAGTCGGTAAAACTCTTCTCGGTCGAGTTCGTCTAACTCTGAGTTGATGTCTAGTGAAATGTAAGTAATCTGCAATGAAATTTACTTTCACTTTGAGCCACTTACATTTGATAGTATTTTCAGTTCTGGGGATAATAACATGTTCACTATATGTATCCAGCTAGATATTAATCCTCCCTTCAAACCAATATAAACCATACCCGAAAAGGAATATTAGAGTACCCCAATAGTACAGGGTAACTTAGGGTGACGTCTGACTGTCAGTTTACCGAAGGAGAGAAGGGTGCTTCATACATGGCATTGACTGAGATGAGTTATAGTTAGCAACTTAACCGAGTCAACAACGCAGCTAGGGCAATATACCTCGTCTATTCACCACTTTGATGACCTCATCTAGTATCACAAACGCCGTCTAAAAAATATCGTATAACACTTGTCAGTTGTTTGCCATGGTCGAGAAGATGATTGTTGGGGGGTTGGTCACGAGGCTGTACCTGTAAGCTAGCTAGTTCGACGAGCGTTTCAACGGCCCTTGAGTATGTCTCTCGACAGCGCTGGACTTGTTGCCCTCCTTTTCCCAGGCCTGTCAGACCAAAATCATTGCTGCCCTCTGCCGTTATGCTCTCAAACTGAGGCAGCATTACGCCAGAGACATTTTCTTGTTTTGTCTGTACACGGAACCGTGCCTGTTTCGCAGATTCCTGGACCTGGAAACCGATATCTCCTCCAACAGCATATGTAACTTCTGCGAGGGAAAAGGCCGCTATCTGCATAACGCGACCCATTTTCCGTTTTGCCTCATCGATTCGTTTGGTGATTTCTATTAATATATGACATTAGACTAGGTAGGAAGATGTGGGCTTCAAACGTTTCATACCTCGAAACCGCCTATTCGTGGGTGAAAATAAAGATTAGTACAGAACATAATAAAAGATATCATTTGCTATGGAACGCACTTAGTCAAAGCTTCACTTTTCCTTTTCAGAAGACTGTGCCCTGTCTCCGCGCCCTTCAGCTTCCCCTTCATTAATCCCAGCGATTGCCGGGTTGGAAAGACAGCTTCCCGGTCCTGAAACGATTAAAGAACAAATTAATGATGAGCATATACGCAAGAGCAAGGCGTGGAATAAAGCATACCCCTGTTCCAGACATTGTAAAGAGAGTTGATAGGATGCGGCCCGCAAATGAGGCCGCACAACTTGCATTTAGCTGTTTCGACTGAGTAGTTGTCCTTGCTGTGTCCAAATGCAGTTCGTCATCCCAAGTTGGCGCCCAGGACGCTTGGACCATCTGGCTAGGTCGCTCTAATAAAAGAGAGAAAGCCTTGGCATCCCTCGCCCAGTCATGTGACCCGACACGACCTAGCTAGGGCAACATCGTCGGCGACAAACGACATCTCTTCAACCCACGCCCCAGCAATGACTCTGTGTTCAAGGGGCAGTCCGTCTCTTCGTATATCAACGCAGCGCCCCCCACGGGTAGGGTCACGCTCTTGTGGGTGGTGAGA